GTTGGAGGATTTCTGAGACAATAGCCTGCGAGTTCACTATGGTGGTGGCTTAGGGACAATAGTGACATGGCTACACTGTCAGTGTGTGGTCCTCTGGGGGGGGAAACGATCCTTGCTCACTACATGACTAATCTCTACAAGAATCATCTCTCTTATAGGAGCCTAATCGGTCCCGTAGCTTCCTCAGCTTCCCCGGAACAACTCAGCAGGGTCATTTCAGATTAGCTGCCCCGCACATCGCTACATTCATTCGGACGGTGACGTCTTCAGTAAGCAGCTGAATGCTAAACCGAGCAGGGAGTGATCAATCTGAGGACTAACAACCATGAAACAAATATGGGGGGGGGGGGGGGGGGGGGGGGGGATTATTTCAGCTATGAATGGCCGATGAGCAAACATGGACAAAGCGGTTATCATGGGGTTGGCTGGGGAGCAGCAACTTATCGCAGCTGGTTTCTTTAATCTTCTGATCACTCAAACAGCTTCCATCGATCCAAAGAAAGCGACTCACGGCAGTGAAATTATAGCTCGTTCGAGTTAATTCCTTTATTTTAAAAATATGAATCTTCATATTTCAGTAAATATGAAAACAAGAGGAGCCTTTAAAATAATTATTCTTTGTATTTTAACTTTTAAGCTTAATCCATTCCTCATTGGGTTCTTTCCTTTTACTAGCAGCTTAGAGACTGAGGTCTAATTTGAATTGAGCATTGCCCAGCAGCCTTATTGAGGGGCTGAACTCTTCACACCTTCTGAGCGAACAATCTTCACCTTTCCACACAAAGACACGCCACACACTGGGCATCTTTTAGAGGCAGCATGACCTCAATAGTGACCTCCCCACGCCCTGTCGATGACCCCCTCCTCCAGAGGGTGACCATGCCTTTGGCCTCTAAAAGCTCAATGCTTAGAAGCGGTCACAGGGGTGCTCCGGTTGATGTCTCTTTCTCCAGGTTCGCATAATTTCTGCAGGGTATTGAAACTAGTGATGACTTGGTTTTAAAATGTGTTGCTGAAAAAAAGCTGTGTGTTAAAGCTAAAAAAGGAACCCACTTATTTTTCTGGATAATCTGTTTACATTATGCACCTTTAACAAGAAGATGCAGTCAAGTTACTTCACCTTCTATACCTAAAATTGGAGGTAAAGAAATGTGCTGAACATGGATTTGAGCAGTGTTGTCAAAAGTACACACCTGTTACTTAAAGGGGAACACCGTTTTTTTTTTTTTTTTTTTTTTTTTTTTACATTGGGCCCTTGATTTGATGTTATTAGGCTACATCATGTTCTGCTCACCCATAACAGTGGAGCTGTTCTGAAGATATTCGTTTTTTGTAATATCCAAGTCTTCCTATGGCCAACGAGCTGAAGTCACAAACTAATCAGTTCATAATTTATTCTATATGGTATGCAAGCATTTATTACATGTAGGCAAATAACTCTCCCCAAGACATCCGCAGACAGAATAAGACAGCAGAGCTTCTACATATCTTGAAAATTTCATTTCTGGCATCATTATATTAGTAAAGAAGTTCATAAATCTATTTAAACAGAGCACAGAGAGAAGCAGGGAGAGTCGCAGATTTGTAAGTATAAATTTATACATTTATATTTACTGATATTTATAAATATAAATATCAGTGTATTGTGGTTCTCTTGTGTTCTCAGCAATAGGGAAGCAATATATGTTTGAGCTAATTTTTGGAAAATACGTACAAAAATCCTATTGAAAGCGTTCGGGTCAAGTAACTGTAGATCCATCAGCCACCACCCGAGGATCACCACCAACTATCATTACAAAGTTAATGCAAGATGGCATTAAAGATAAAAAATACAACAGACAACAATAAAAGAGGGTATATAGTACAAAAAAGCATTAAAAAAGAGAAAAAAGTTGTACTGTCCTGGAAGAGGTTTCCCTTAAATGTAAAGATATCTGCCCAGTAGAGAGCAGGGTCAAAGTAGCCTTGCGAGACCATCCTGATCTCGCGAGCTTTCAAGGTTTCACTCGCTAATCAGTCTGGAGACTCTCGGTTGAACAAATTTGGAGCCGTTCACCAAACGAACGTCCAATCAGCGTTGGCTTTGAGGCGGGTTGAGGTGTGATGCGACGAGAAGCGCGACAGTTCAGTCTAAAGAACATGGCGGCTTCAGCCGATGAAACTAGCGTTAGCGTGGCCATGGAGCAAGTTTTATCGGAATTACAGAGTATTTCTTCACTGAAAGAAGAGCAAAACACTGCTCTGGAGGCTTTTCTCAGAGGAAAAGATGTTTTTGCTCTTCTCCCGACTGGTTTCGGCAAGAGTAGCCTGGCTGTTACGTCATATGCTTCGTGGATCTGATTGGTTTATTGGGCCCGTCTATCACCAACATAGGCCAATCAGCTAACCAGTATTTTCGCCCCTTCCCAAAATTACTTCAACCGAAGGTTTCCAGATGGATATGCGGAGCAAATCCATCTGGCGGAGTCAGGTTAGGGCCAAAGGGGTGCACATGCCAATGATGACACAATAATGCCAACCAGAGATGGCAAAAGTACTCACTTTCCGTACTTGAGTAAAAGTACAGATACTTGTGTTAAAAAATACTCTGGTAAAAGTGGAAGTACTGCTTAAACTTCTTTACTCAAGTAAAAGTAACAAAGTACAGGCTTGTAAATTTACTTAAAGTATAAAAGTAAAAGTAGAAACCACTTTTTTCATGCCGTTGCCTACATTTTAAATGGATGTCTGCCAATAGGACTAGATCTCCGTTGTGTTCATTTTCAATCATCTCGTCGTCCATACTACTATGCTAACACCACCGCCACCAAGCTGAAATGATTTGCCGGGAATGAATACCACAGAATCTGTCGATTCATCTTGTAGTGGTGCGTCAAATGCAACGTAGATTCCCATCCAATTAGATTGAATTTGGTATTGATGACGTGAAAAATAATAACGGTAACTCCATTGAAATGATTCAAAACTAAAGTAACGAGCCATTTTTTTTAAATGTAAGCAGTAGAAAGTACAGATATTTGTGTAAAAATGTAAGGAGTAGAAGTAAAAAGTCGCCATAAAAATAAGTAGTAAAGTAAAGTAAAAATATCAGAAAAATCTACTTGAGTACAGTAACGAAGTATTTGTACTTCGTTACTTCCCATCTCTGATGCCAACCCCCTCCACACAATGTTGCAGTGCCTGGTCAAGCATCTCACAAGTATTTTAGTCTTTTATTGTTAGAGTAAGAAACTTTATCTTGTTTTTTTTTAGATCATTTACAGAGAAGTCAAAATGTTGTTTTATTTGAAACTATCCTAGAAACAGTATTATCTTAAAGGTAGTGTGGAAGATCTTCACAAATTTTTGAAAAGAGCCGCCCTCTCCACTTTAAAAAAAATGCAAATGAACAACCCTGCACTCGCTCCTGAGAGGGAACGCCTATCAAACTCATGCAAGAGCCAATCTCTACTCGTGCATGCTCTTTTTTAAAGCTGATGTGTGCATCGCTTTACTTTCCAAAAGAAGTGCAAATTCCCACTATGTCAGACTCACCAGCGGTAAGTGAAAATGGGGACGAGCACATAGGACGGCCTTACGTAAACATATAACCTGAGTGATTGACAATTAAGAGGACCACTTATTTTGATGATGCAAAAACAAACGCCACTATACCTTTAATACAGTAAGTAATATTTTTGATAGAGGACTCAGACAGTTGAATCTGAAGCATTTCCTTTCTTTTTTAACACATAACTGGTCATGTGGTGTACTGTCCCCTGTGTTCAGTCCTGAATATAAACAGCTGACATTGGCTTAGCGTTTACCTACAGATTTCTTCCCACTGCTCCATAAAGGATGGTTTAAATTCAGGGAACACATTTTGCTTTGATGTGTATAATTGATTAGTTTTATTTCAAGGTCTCTGAGCTGATATTCTATAGGATCGGAGTTTTATTTGAATCGTGACTCCATGACGTAGCCTTTGTTGTCCTTAAACTGCATTGTATCTAATTTGGGGGTGTGCTAATGGTCTTCAAAAATTGCTTTAACATTTCCTCGTAATTCTTATGTTATCCATTTGGTGAAATGCACCAGTCTCTTCCAATTTCCACAACATGATGCTGCCACTAGCAGCGTTAGGATGGTGCTGCACATATGCTGACATCTGACTGCTTTCTTGTTCTTTTTTTTTTTTATTAAAACATAATTTAATGTAGGACTTCTGCTCAAAGTCCTCCTCTTACATTGTCATTGTTTCTCTTAAATTCAAATAACTACTGACAGATTTATATTTATTTTCATGTATCTCGTTCATAATCAGAATCTAACTGTAAAGTCCTGGGGTATGTTTTTCTTTTTTCCGATATGTTTTTCAAATAAATTTGACCTTGGCTTTTACTCTTTTTCATGCTACACAGAAATATCTGGGCACGAAGCATTTCTGCATCACTGCTCGTGTGATCTAACATTTTAGCTGCAAAGTGAAACTAACACACATTCATCTCAAGTATGATGGATGCAGAAACACAGCAGGCAGAAACACGCATCATTAGAGTCAGAGCAAAATGACTGATCCTGGTCAAGCTGGAGGAAAATAAATAGAAAGTGGTAATGGTCAGATTGATGTGGCTGAATGATAGCAGCAGGGAGAGATTTCCAGGGTTAGTGGTTCATACTGTAAATGCTGCTGAGGACCCATTGCTCATGAATCTACACTAGACGGTTGTAAAGGTGACGGGAAACTGGACAGGCCAGCTGGCCCTTGCAAGGATTAGCAGGCTTAAGTGTACCGGAGGCAATGGAACACCAAACACAGCACTGACAGTGAGGAGACAATGGCTCCTAGTAAAGCAGAACTGACAAGGTCTCGCCAGGCTTTTATCGGATCAAACGCTAATGGTGAAGATGGGTTCTTGCATTGATTAAGTATTGTTGTTAAGCTCTGCAGTGGAGGCCTCAGCACTGAGGAGATACAGTGACAAATGTGCTTTCAGGACGAAAATAAAGAAAAAACCTACCAAGGTTTGACTGGATGGAGGAATCTGAGGATCTGGGTGTTTCTAAGGATGGACTCAGGTCTATGATGCAAGATGACGGCGACCCAGAATCTCCTTCAGACTGATTCTGTAGAAAAACAGAGAAAATGTTCTGTATAACAATAACATCAGCTTTATTTTCTACACATTCTGTCAGGTCAATCTGGTATTTCTGTATCCAGGGAAATTATTGCACCAAGCCAAATATTATCTGCAGGCTATGAAATTAAATTAGATGAACCATAAAGTTTTGACAGTGGCAGGCATGTCAGCTTTTTTGGTTTTATGTTATCGTGCAGCCTAATCAGACACTTAAGGGAAAGAGCCATCAAATACACTCACCGGCCACTTTATTAGGTACCCCATGCTAGTAACGGGTTGGACCCCCTTTTGCCTTCAGAACTGCCTCAATTCTTCGTGGCATAGATTCAACAAGGTGCTGGAAGCATTCCTCAGGGAGTTTGGTCCTTATTGACATGATGGCATCACACAGTTGCCGCAGATTTGTCGGCTGCACATCCATGATGCGAATCTCCAGTTCCACCACATCCCAAAGATGCTCTATTGGATTGAGATCTGGTGACTGTGGAGGCCATTTGAGTACAGTGAACTCATTGTCATGTTCAAGAAACCAGTCTGAGATGATTCCAGCTTTATGACATGGCGCATTATCCTGCTGAAAGTAGCCATCAGAAGTTGGGTACATTGTGGTCATAAAGGGATGGAAATGGTCAGCAACAATACTCAGGTAGGCTGTGGCGTTGCAACGATGCTCAATTGGTACCAAGGGGCCCAAAGAGTGCCAAGAAAATATGCCCACACCATGACACCACCACCACCAGCCTGAACCGTTGATACAAGGCAGGATGGATCCCTGCTTTCATGTTGTAGACGCCAAATTCTGACCCTACCATCCGAATGTCGCAGCAGAAATCGAGACTCATTAGACCAGGCAACGTTTTTCCAATCTTCTATTGTCCAATATTGATGAGCTTGTGCAAATTGTAGCCTCAGTTTCCTGTTCTTAGCTGAAAGGAGTGGCACCCGGTGTGGTCTTCTGCTGCTGTAGCCCATCTGCCTCAAAGTTCGACGTACTGTGCGTTCAGAGATGCTCTTCTGCCCACCTTGGTTGTAACGGGGGGTTATTTGAGTCACTGTTGCCCTTCTATCAGCTCGAACCAGTCTGGCCATTCTCCTCTGACCTCTGGCATCAACAAGGTATTTCCGCCCACAGAACTGCCGCTCACTGGATGTTTTTTCTTTTTTGGACCATTCTCTGTAAACCCTAGAGATGGTTGTGCGTGAAAATCCCAGTAGATCAGCAGTTTCTGAAATACTCAGACCAGCCCTTCTGGCACCAACCATCATGCCACGTTCAAAGTCACTCAAATCACCTTTCTTCCCCATACTGATGCTCGGTTTGAACTGCAGGAGATTGTCTTGACCATGTCTACATGCCTAAATGCACTGAGTTGCCGCCTTGTGATTGGCTGCTTAGAAATTAAGTGTTAACGAGCAGTTGGACAGGTGTACCTAATAAAGTGGCCGGTGAGTGTAAATTTCAATAGTGAACAGAGGTAACAGGGTCTGCTCTGACTGACGTTAGCACTTCTACCTGCATATGAAAGCAGAATGATTAGACTTTGAAATTCAACTGTATTGTCATTAAAATTGTCACGAGTACAAAGCAACGAAATTCACTCTCTGCATTTAACCCATCCTCTTGGGGAGCAGTGTGGGGTTTACGGTATTGCTCAGGAACCCAAAGTGGAAGCTGTGGGGTTCAAACTGAGTACTATCAGGGCTCCAGTCTGTGTGTTTGTTTTTTTGTGTTTGTCTCCCTTCCTCCAACAGGAGGCGCCTGGTTCTGGTCCGCCTCCTCACACTCCTGCTGATGGTTACCTCGTTAACGGAGTGCTCTTAAGCTGCTGATTGCCACTACCTCGATGTCAGAGTGTTTGCCAATTTTGGGTACTCTAACCAAGCTGAGTTTTTGCTGAATAAGACTGAGTTCTTGTCAACCTGAGTTTAAACTTTGTTTTTTGTCTTTGCCTCTTGGCAGGAAGTCATCCTGCAAACTGGATATTTAGGACCTTCACTCCCTGGAGGGATCAACTGAGCCTCAAACTGTGCTGGGGATTCAAACTGGAGGTTTGGATCCAGTTTCCCAGAGAGGACGTTGAGTTTACACACTGAGCAAGGGAATCGTCTCCACTACGACCTGTTCAAGTACCGCAGGAAATCTGAGTGGCAGTCAGTTTCTCCGTTCACCTACAACCGACCGTGTTCTGGGTAAACCCTATTCCGCCCTCCACCGAATCAGACTAACACTGAATACAACACACAGATTGGAGTCAAAGATTCTACAACTTCTCTGGAAATGTGAGTCTACAATCAGATCCTCTCTAGTTCCGGCTGAGCAGAGTTCAGAGCAACACTGCACCGTGCTTCATCTCTTCAATAAAATCTGTTAAACCTTTTCCCCTGGTCTCTCTGAATTGGTTTCTCTGCATGTGGGTCCGAGCTTTAGATAAAACCATGACAGGTACTTGCATCCTTCTCAGAGCACAGTGCACTGCTCTAACCACTACGCCAACACTCCCCAGCTAATATACATGCATCTATTAACCCTTTGCAAAAATAAATTTTAGAATATTGTTGGTCAAAGAAGAAAAACTTCAGAGAGAAATGGGTCGCTAATGTGAAGAAGGCCTCAGGAGGTTCAGGAGTCATGGTTTTAATCATTAGCCAAACTTTAAAAACATCTTTAAAAGGAGTTAAAACGTGGATCATTTAGATATTTAAACCTAAAACAACCTTTAAATCACACTTCTTCTGGCTGGAACTAATATTTTTATATTTTGGAGCTTGATTCATTAGTTCAGTATAATATAGTGTAGTAACTTTGTCGGGAGATAAAGATTAGGTTAGTTAGGATTGATTAGGAGCAAATTTTTCAGCATAAATCAAAACATTGCCTAGAAATTACATTAAGGGTTTGACAGCTACAATTACCAAAATCCACCCGATCGACTGCGACCGTATTTATAGCGTTTATGTCAGGGTTCCTGTGTGTTAGTGAGTGCGAGTTAGGAATCTCCCTACAGAGAGGATCTTTGGGGAGAACCTGTGTAGCCTACACAGGTGAAGATAATGTTTCTGGGCTTGAAAGAGCAGCAGAAAGTTCAATTAGTGCTGGTTTCTGGTGTGTTGTTGAAGTCGTTTACCTGCTTTCTAGTTTCTTGCTTCGTCAATGGATTTTCCCTGACATTTATTGGTTCTTGTTTGGTTTTCAGTATTTTTGTATTTTGGATGTTTGCCTCTGTTCATCTTGTACTTTCATTAAATCATCACAAACTCATCTGTTCCTACTCCTCAAAGCCTCCACCCAACCTGACAGTTTACAACTAACAACTCAGAAAACAGGAAAACTAAAACGGTACATTTTTTACCAATGTAGACATATTTACATCGTTAAAATCTTAGATTCTCCACGTTTCAACTAGCAAGTTCATTTTATGGACACCGCGAAACACCAAAGCACAATTTACACAGATATAGCTGCATGGTTAGCTGTCCAGAAGCTGTTTTAAAAAATCCAATCTTCAATTGTTTAATTTCCATTCGTCCATAAAGGTAAATAGATTAAAAGTATTTCAGCATATTTGTAATAAAAACATTCCATGATGAGAAAATTGCCACATAGAGAAGTTAGCGGGTCATAGTTAATGCTTAGCATTTGGTTAATAAGGCTTAGTTCCTGAAGGATTAGCCTGCAATGTTTTTTTCTTTTTTTTTTTTTTTTACATCGTCTTCCTACCTACAAGACAAAAGTGTCCGCATCAATGTATGATTTGGTTTGAGTCAGGGACAGCCAATGAAGCCTCACAAGCTCTCCTTGCCTGTGAGCCAATGACGCACCGAGTAGAGCGATATTACACCTCATAGAGTCCTGCTGTCATTGGTTAAGACCCCGCGAGCTGTTTGGCTTTGTAGCAAATTAAAAAAAGTTTTCAAAGAAGGGTAGACATTTCTGGGTTGCATAAAGCAGAGCCATGTTACTGGCTTGTGTAAAAGTGAAACACACAGCTAAGGCTGGATAAGTGCATAAAGTTCAAAGCTGTTTACTAACAACGCTCCGATATTTTTGAAGTTTGGACGCTGCTTATGTTTTATTACAATGCCTAAGGCCAAATAAACAAAATACAGCTCAGAAAAGGCACTGTGGCTTATTTTAGCCTGAAAAGCAGCAGTTTCACTATTTTCTATAGATGTTTATGTTATTTTAGGTTTATAGATGAAAAATTTTGTTATATACACTGTTTATGAAAAAAATTGGAAAATACTTGCTTCATAAATGTTTTGTGGCCATCAAAATGCTTCAGTGTTATTCTAAGGGGGAAATAGTTGAGTAAAAGCATTTGGCACAATTTGGCTGGTTTGCAGAGGTTTGGAGATGCTGGTGACACCAAAAGTTCAACGCCCCACAGCTCTGGAACTGTTGTAGCTAAATGTCTGATATTCTCTGCATTTGTGGTTGACATGATATAGAGCAAATGTAATAAAATGAGACTCTCAAGCATGTCGTTATTACTGCTGTTCAAAAAAGACCTTATTTTCGAGAAGAAAAAAAACAACTTTGAATTGATTCAGCAAATAAAGAAAAATAGAATGTTTTAGCTTTCAAATGATGTATCACACATGTAATTTGGGCTTATAGTTCCTCAGTTATTTGCTTTTCCATTTGGGTATGTAAAATAGGCGTGGATTACTTTAAATTAGGTGAGTGTTTAAGTTTCCCCCACTGATTAATGAGAGGATATAGAATTCAAAATCAATTTTTTTTTTTTTTTTATCAAAAACAAGGTTTTTGGATAAATTAGAATAATTTATCACCTACATCTTACAATAATTAGAATAATATGTGCCTAAATGTAATTTTTTTTACTAAATAACTGTAAATATAACAGGTGACAAAGTGAATCCTGGGACTGACACTTTTTTTAGGAAGATCAGATCAAATCTGATCTAAAAGCTGCTTTAAAACATTGATTTTCAAATCATATTTCATCCATTTGAATCCTCTGCGTCTTAATATCTTCTATTAGTTTGGGATCTACTTATTACTTTCTTTAGCCAGATTACCACAGTACAATGCATTGAAAGCTATAGTCTTCTTTTTACATTTCCTGATCTGTGTATAAAAAAAAAAAAAAAAAAAAAACTAAATGGCTACCATGTGTAGTTGATAATAATTCAGTTCAGGTCCTAAATGTCCATCTAAAAAAACTAGAATATTGCTTAAAAGTGCAAAACATTTTGTTGGTCATTTAAGACACAGTTATTTTATAGAGATTAATTCATTAAATATTCTCATTAAATATGCTCCTTCTTGTCATTTGGATAACTATGGCTTCTAGCTCAAGAAAACAAAAAACTCAGCGTATCTGAAAATTAGAACGTCACATTAGACCAAATTAGAAAAAATGTCAGATTTCTAAAAGGTAAGGTAAGGCAAGGCAAATTTATTTGTATAGCACAATTCAGTACAAAGACAATGCAAAGTGCTTTACATGATTAAAATACAGGAAGATAAAACAGAATCAAAGCAAGTAGGAAAAAAAAAATATATAAATAAAATAAAATAAAAAATGTAGAAACAAAACAAGACAGTTGGAAGTTTTTGTTAGATTACATTTATTTATTTGATGATTTTTTTTTTTTTAATGGAGAAGAAGAGGACTTTGTTTGAGCTAATTTTCCAGTATTTGATTTCTAATTATCTTTAAAGCTGTTAGCATTTGATCAAAAATTTCTCCTTGGGCAGTTGACAATTCCCCAGAACCTTGCCTTTAGTTCTACTACCATAGAACTGCAAAACCTTTCCCAATATCTACAGGTAATTTAACTCTGCCCGATATGCAATTTAACTCTGCCCAATCCTATGGTGCCAACCTGGATAAATGGGGGGATCCCACTCTAGATTACCGACGTCTCAGTAAAATTAAGTACCTTCTGGTGGCACCTGCAACCTTCCTCTCACTCTTAGAGAGAGCCTCACGTTCAGGTAAGCTCATTTCCCTCCCTCCCTGTGCTTATACATTAATATCAAAGTCTGAAGCTCAACTAAATAAATAATTTAAATAGAAAAACAGAAAAAAATAATTCTGTTCGTATGTTCTCTATACCCTACTTATATATTATTTTTATGCCTCTTTTCTATAACAAAATAATATTGGTGTAATACCAGTGTTATAGAGCAGACAAACAACAGTATATTGAATATGGTGTCTGAGATGACTTGTAAAAATATAATTTTTATACAGTTTTCAATTTTTATTTTTTATTTTTTTAGATGTACCAATATTTTTTCTGTCACAAATATGCTCAAATTAGCTAAAGATAATTCACTGCTATGGTTTCCTTCCAACAATACTGTTCATTCATAAATGTAAACATCTGGTCTGTGGTTATGTTTTACATTTCCCCACAAGATTTAGTCAAAACAATGTGGAGCTTCCTGGATTTCTCTTCAATAGAAATAATCAAATACAAACATTTGATTTATGCAAAATATTTAGGGGGGGTTACCAAACTCATTCAGGCTTTTCAGAGGCCCTCTCTCTTCTGTCATAAAGAGATTAATCTGAACCCTCGCTGAATACTTCCACCCATTCCACAGCAGGACAGTGGCTGACCCCTCCTGATCCATTCGCTGGTGCATCCTCCAATTGAAGCCCACCATCCTGACCCACCTCTCTCTGACCGGCCCAGGAGGCTGTGTTTAACGCCATGCATTGCCCCTCCTGCGACCCATGACTGATTAACCACACACCTGCTGCACTCGCGTGTCCCCTGTTATATTGCCCCACAATCAATCATGTGGCTCGTTTGCCCAGACTAACGGTTGCAAATACGCACCAGTGCACATCTGTGAGTGGGAGGATTTGCATGTTTTGATGTGATTATGTAATAAGACTTCGTACCTGTGTGTTTTTTTAAGAAGGTGCAAGATATGAACAGAGAAAGTCGAGGCCGAGCCACTCACCCATTTATTTCCCTGAAAACTGCCTGCAGAGTTGAACCTTTCAGAGCCGCTGCCAGCTGTGGGAGATCTTGAATGACCTGTCCAAAAACACAGAGAAATCGTCATCAGGGCGACAGTGGCAGAGGAAGTGCTTCTGTTTACAGTTGTGCTGCAGCAGGCAACAAGGCATTCGTGGGTGTATTTTGCACATAATGGTAAAACGTGGAGCAACAGAGGAGCACCTGTCTGCAACCCAGCTGCAGATATTGTTAAAAAAGACTGATGAGAAAATAAGCTTTAAGTAAAATCAGACCCATTAAGTTGCACTGTAAATATTCATGGATGCCTGAAAAGAAAACTATGATGACCATCACATATCCTTTAAGTGCCTTTAAGATACTAAGGTCTTTAAAGAGAAAAACAAAAAAGGTTCACTAAAACGTCTTCTCAATAAAAGGTAGCGTTTACTCTAATTAGGGGGATGTTTTTTCTTGTATACGTCAACATTTTTACAACAATAAATATTCAATCTTGCTCAAAGTATTCTTCAACTAATTTAACCCCGACACAAACTCCCATGAATTTTATTTGGGACTTTTAATCCTGAATCAGAGCAAATATTTTAGAATTAATTGGAAGCAAAATGATGAATGGGTCTGAAAAGATCTGACAGAGCCTGGATGCATCTGAGAAGAATATCTGGACGTAAAATGTAGTAAAGTTTGTGGTTGATCTGAAACAAAATGGGAAGAAACAGTAAAACAGTAGCAGTAATAGGATTCTTTTTTTGTTCACTTGCTGCATATTGAGTTAGTGTTGAGCATACAAAGTAGCTACGTGGTTGGAGGAGAGACACACAGCAGCACTCAGTGAATTTAACTGGCAGCTACTTTGATGTTTAAGTAAAGGTAAAAAAAAAAAAATTAGAGATGCCTCAGAAAAATCCATTTGTTAGACATGCAGGGCTTTTTACACAAAAACGGCAAAAGTTTGTAAGTTTATACAAGTTAGTATTATAATGCAAGAAGCTTGAGAAAATATAGTTTAAATGTTATGTTCTTTACGATAAAAGCTTGGCTTCTCAGAGAATCATGACTCACATTTACAGGTTAAAATTAACACGTTTTCTGATTGAACAGACAGAATCAGACTGCAGAGCTTCTACATATCTTGAAATTTTGTTTCTGGCATCATTATATCAGCAAAGAGGTTCATAAATCTTTTTAAACAGAGCACAAAGAGAAGTAGGGAGAGCTGCAGATTTTAAGGTGAAACAGATTTACCTGGATATGCAACATGCAATAAAGTATATGTGCAAGTTAAAACAAGACAAACATAGCAAAAAAATATCACACTGTTTTTTTCCCTTATTTTATTGGTTTAAAAGTAATTTAACAAAAAAAACATATTAAATAAGAATTATTTGTGACTGATTTGAGGGATTTCTTGTTCAGCTGAAGGGAACCTTCAAACTCCTGCTCTGTTTATCTCCTCTTTGCTGCCTTATCAGCCTTTAAACAACAGACGATGAACTAATTGAGTGATCTACACACTCTTCGCCTCTTATCCGTTGTTATGTGTGCTGTGATTGGTTTAAAGTGTCTCCTGCTATCTGGGTTGGAGTTCCCCGGTTAATGATCCACTGCAGCAGTTTGATCTTTATTAATATGACACATCCTGATATCCCCGTATACCTCTCCTATGAGCGGCCGCACCTTCGAGACAGAAGCGGTTAAGAGCATGCAGGCATGCGGCTGATTGACAGTCTGTTCTGCTGCTTGTAAAAAGAAAAAAGCCGCTCAGTGTCATAAAGGTCGCTCAGAAATCAGAGAGTCATGTTTTTCCCCCTTAAGTCAAATAGATTTTCTCCAACAGATTTGCACACAAACACACCTGTCTGATGCCTTCCAGTCATGTCAGTGACCGTTTCTACATATGAAGGGATCTATGTGTGTCAAAGTGAGTCAGAATAGCAGTTGCACCCCACCAGGCATTTTTGGGACCCGTGACGAAAACGTAAAATTTGCAAAAAATGGGCTTGATGTCATCTTGCTTTTCAAAGTTAAATCTTCCAGCAAACTGCTAATCCAACATTTATCATACAGTTTGCAAATCACTATTTTAAACAAGATCATAGAAAGTGTGCACAAGACCATGTTTTACACTCTTTAAGAGTTACGATTAAGAAATGAACTATTGTTGTTAAAATTATGCAAAGATTAAAACCTAAAAACGAATAACCTAAAATATACAACTTCTCAATCAAAATGCATTGTAAAATGAATTAACGCAATCATCTCAAAAAGTGAAAGTTGTTTTTATAAAGAAGATAAAAAGATAAAAACTCAGATATGCCGTTGAACATCTGTTACTGATCTGTTGCCAATCCAGACTCACCTGGAGCCTTTAGCTTGCAAATTTATTAAACAAACAAAAACAAACAATAGCATCAACTGCATTATTTAAATTTATAATATCCTTGATATCTTAATATATTATAATAATATAATGTTTTTTATCGTTATTTCACGAAGATCGTTTTAGATAAAAGGCGTGTTTGAGTTTGTTTCCAAAAATATTCCCTCTATAATGGTAAAAAGAACAAAAGCAGTTTTGTTCCTCTTTTTCCTTAAACTACCTAAAACGATGCTAACCGTCCTGTCATTAAAGACGTTTGCCCTTTAGTGGGACATGGAGGAGGATTTATGTTGGGTTCCAGAGTCAGGGCAGCTGCTGACTTAGACTCATCTATTGTTAAGAGTAGTAAAATGCTCAGGGAAAGCTTATTTAAATGTATGATTATCTTGCTAAATATTTATCTTAAGTGATTAACTGCTATTTAGTCTTTAGCTAACCTAGTATGTTATTTTATTGTTGACATTAAGCCAACAAGTTAACACTCACTGCAGTCTGCCCACCTCTTTTGGAGCGAAACTGGCATGAAAATAAAAAATGTCTTGTTTTTAGTATTTTCCTCTGTTTTCTCTCTTTGCTTTTATTAAAAAACATGATATTATTCTTTCTAAGCAGCATGGTTATAATTGCATTTTCAAGGCGCTGTTCGTTAATGCTTACCTTTGGTCTAAACTTAAAAAAAAGAAAAACATAAAACCAAAATATAATAATTTAATTGACATTTAATATTTATGCTATGTATGTATGTATGGAATCTTCTTTTCTTCCCTCTATATCTAGACAACTGAGCTAATTTAAGTAAAAGTTTATAACCCATTTGTTTAGAATGGCCTTGGCTGTTGAAGTTTAACTGTTTACTGTGATGTTATTAGTTTAAGCTTGTGGCCCAACCTTTTTACCAGCTTAAAAAGCTTATTTAATAATAAAAAAAAATGTTTTACTTTCTTTTATTTCCCTTCAATTTTACTGTTGAATTCATGTAAAGCACTTTGAATTGTCTCAGTACTGAAATGCAAATGCCTTGCCTATACAACACCCCTGAAGGGAGGCTCCTCTGCAAAGGAAAGCTAAACATAGATATTATATTTAGGCTTCTTTAAAAAAAAAAATAAATAATTTGTGTGTATTAAACTCATTTATACGGAAGAGGATTAGGGCCACTGGAAAAAAAAAAAAAAGTTAACTGATTTTTAGATTTTATTTCAGTTTAACATGGGGAAAAATAGTCAGAATTCTGACTTTTTCTCAGAATTCTGACTTTAATCTCAGAATTCGGACTTTAATCTCAGAATTCTGACTTTTTTCTCAGAATTCTGACTTTAATCTCAGAATTCTGACTTTTTTCTCAGAATTCTGACTTTAATCTCAGAATTCTGACTTTTTTCTCAGAATATTGGATGTCAATGTCGATGGGCACCCTGATGGAAGATATGTGGGAGCACTCAGCTTCACTGACAAAGATGTGAGTTGTTTGAGGTGGCCAGTGACACATAGGTGGAAAATGATGGAACTAGGCGACTTTTTACGTGCCCGAGGGGTCCCCTCATTAATGGAGGAGCAGAAGGTCATTAAAACAAGAGAGCTAGTCTCTAAAACAGACATGGCTATGGCTTGATGCTAACATTGTTATCTGTCAGAATTCTGAGATTAAAGTCAGAATTCTGAGAAAAAAGTCAGAATTCTGAGATTAAAGTCAGAATTCTGAGAAAAAAGTCAGAATTCTGAGATTAAAGTCAGAATTCTGAGAAAAAAATCAGAATTCTGACTTTAATCTTAGAATTCTGATTTTAATCTCACAATTCTGATTTTTTTCTCAGAATTCTGAGATTAAAATCAGAATTCTAAGATTAAAGTCAGAATTTTGAGAAAAAAGTCAGAATTCTGAGATTAAAGTTAGAATTCTGAGAAAAAAGTCAGAATTCTGAGATTAAAATCAGAATTCTAAGATTAAAGTCAGAATTTTGAGAAAAAAGTCAGAATTCTGACTTTTTTCCCCATATTAAACTGAAATAAAGTTTAAAAATCAGTTAACTTTTTCTTTTTCCAGTGGCCCTAATCCTCTTCCGTACATTTACTTGAAGATATCAGATTAAACTTTTTTTTTTTTCCTGCCAACATTTACCTGTCCAAATCCACTCAGGGCTGTCGTATGGTGCCGTCAGGTCAGACCATTCCTGAACGGGGGAAAAAGCATCCTCCAAAGTGGTCTCTTGAACTGGACGATCCAAGAGGAGCAGCTGGACCCGGGATATGGAGCCCAGATTCCCAGAATCACAGCTCACTGTGAGCGCTGCAAGTCCAGGAGAAAGCTCTACACAAAGAGAATAGTAGCAATGAAAGAAGCTGAAGGCCAGTGTCTGTGCAACTGTTTCACACCATTACATATTTCACCTTCCAGAATCACCATTAGTGCATATACACTATGAGGATACTGAAATAATTTACTGATCTATGGACAGACCTAGTTGAACAGGAAAAGGAAAGGTTTGCTCTACAGATGACAAAAATACAATTGTTTGGGTTAAAAAAAGTCACAAACACAAGTATAAAAAAAAAAAGCTACATCATTTATAAAGCCCAGATAGATAATAAAATTATAAAGAATATTTCCATAGTTTATCAAGTCTAAGGTAATCTTTTGTTATATATAAAGGTAACACATAATCCAGTAGGACCCATAATGAAGCTTTTATTATGCCTGGTTTCTGTTGAAAAAATAAAATAAAACTTTTGACAAGTTAATAGTGCATAACACCTTTAAAATCCCCGTCCATCCCAACAAAGCCTTAGTCTTTTCTTTCAATTAAACCTCTTAACTAAACGGTAAGAAAGGAGTAAGAAAAAAGCTAAAACAGCTGAAGAACAGATGTTCAACACACGTGGGTAGAGCTAGAATAACTGTGATCTAGGCATAATTTAACAAAATGGGCACAAATTGTGGCATTTTATTTATTTATTTTTTTTATCTTATGAAAGAGAATGTTTTCAAATTAACATGATCAAAGGGCTGATTTTATGGTAGGGGCAACGGTTCTGTCATGAGATTTAGCTTCTTTATCATCAAAATGGACCACTGTGAATGGCTTAAAAATCAAGAGAAAATAAAATTAAGTAATAAACAAAAGAGAAAATAAGCTTAATTAAAAAATATTTTTCTATGGCTCCAGGTCAGATAAATAATTATATTTTTGTAAAGTGCTTTATGAACAGCTGAACAGTGAACAGAACAGTAATCTATATAACTTATCAAGTGCTTATGCATTCCCACTTATTGTTTTTCTGTTTATATTTATTATTGTGTGAATGCTGTAGGCATTCACACTATTGAGATCCTGTTTCTCTTTACTGTGTGAATGCTGTAGGCATTCACACTATTGAGATCCTGTTTCTCTTTATTGTGTGAATGCTGTAGGCATTCACACTATTGAGATCCTGTTTCTCTTTATTGTGTGAATGCTGTAGGCATTCACACTATTGAGATCCTGTTTCTCTTTATTCTTTATTTATTTTTTTTATTATTTTTATTCTTCCGACCATTTTTTGTAACGCTACTACTTCTGCATACTTTGTGCTATTTCAACCATTCAAATTTCACAATATTCAGCTCATTTAGGACATGTCGGCTATGTCTTTTTGTACTTCTACCTCTTTTGCTTTTTAAATTATTCTGCTTTTTCTGCAAATTTTTGCTTCATTGAAATGAATGGCATTTTGCTAAAATTCTGCTAAATCTTCTGCTATTTTGCTCTTTAACTACTTCTGCATACTTTCAGCTAGAAACACCATTCAACTTTTAAAATATTTCCGTATCTTTCTGCTATTACTGTTTAACTCGGCTTTTTGCTAGCTTTTACAGTTTTGCTTCAGTGAAGCTTCAAACTTTTAAACATTTTTTACAGATTTTCAAATTTATAATGGAAGTCTATGGACGGAATGTTCAGCTGCTAGAGTGTGCCACTCTAGCGTTTTCAAACATTTCACTCATGCCGAACAGCTTCAACTCACTCGCTCATTTTTTACCCTATCTAGATAAATTTTACATCAAAACGTAGGGATTTTTGTCAGGATTCAGGAAATGTAACCCTCATCTGTGTGGCATTTACGGTTTTCCGACAGTTTGGCCCAGACCACGAAGAAGTCCACACTTCTCCAATAGAAATCCAATGAGAGCTCTCTGAAAATCTGAAGTGAAAATTCAAAAAAACAGACTTTTTCGTATCGCTCCCATTCGGGAACCGTTTGACGTAGCAACACGAGCCTTGCTGAAGTTGTTCCTCAGACCTTCCTAGCACTCACATTGAAGGAAGTGTGTCGATATCTTTTATCATTTAGCTAGGAACAAGGTTTGTTTGGGGGTAACAAATCTGTCCGAACCCCAAAATCAAGATTTTGACAATTATACACTTTTTTACATCGTCACCACACCATGAAAGTTACCCCAATCGGAGACAAAGGATAGCTCTCGCTTAGACTGAAAGAATTTTTTAGATACCATTTAAGGTTTGTCTTCAGCACTCGTTTGTTCGGAGCTGATAAACCCATTCAAAAAAGCCTGAGAACTAAGGAACG